TGCAGACATTTTCTTCAATTTGCTTCCTTCCAAATCTGAGAGAACTGAATCTAGTCTATGCATTATACCTGGGAGTGCTGATGCTGTTCCTGCTCTTTCTGTAGTTTCTCACAGATACAGCATTTCCTTTCCAGTGTCTGTACACCTCTCTCTGTGTCTGTTTCCCAGCTGGGTGGACATTGTAAGAGATCACTGACATAAATGACCTGCCATTTTTCATTCATTTTTATATTTGTTTCTTAAGCAATATGTATAAATACAGTGAACTGTTTTTAAAATATTTGTCTGATTTAAACACAATAGTTAGCAAGTTGCAAAGAAGATGGAGAGTTGTTTGCCACTCTAAAGGCAGTGGGACCTTGGTAAATGGAGTCGAGAGGCAGGCGAAAGTCTCATGTCATAGCCAACTTTATTCAGAGCATCAGACATTTTACACTCTGAGGGCTAAGAGGAGTCCCATGAGTAAAGTGGACACTCACAAAGGCAAACCACACATGGCAGGCAAGCTGCAAGCAGCAAAACATGTTCTTTCATAGTCATATAAACAAATAACAATAGCCAACTGTAATGAATAATCTGAAGTAAACTCACTTATACTGCTACATCTGGGAAGGACGCAAAAGAATAATCCAAGCACAACTGCATGTTTTTGAAGAAACTGAGGTCACAAGACTCTTCCCTTGGTTTCTTGGAGTTTTTTCACCCGAACTCAAAAATTCCTCACAGGACTCCATCTTGGACCATGTTCTGACAGAGAGGGGACAAGATGGGAGGGGGGAAAGGAAAGAGAAAGAGGGGGGAGAGAGAGAGAGAGAGAGAGAGAGAGAGAGAGAGAGAGAGAGAGAGAGAGAGAGATCCCAAATGTTGTACTAACCCCACTTTGAAAGAAGTAATACTGAAAATGTCAAACCAAGTAAAGAAATTTTACCTGGTAAAATCTTACAATGGTAAGATCCTCTTCGGTTTTGTGAGATATTTTCAAAGGTCACAGATCACAAACTATTAAGAAACTGTGCTTTATAATGACATAATAGGAGACTATGTTGATAACCACTTCTGCTTTCATACTGAAAAAAATGCATAATAGAAGCTTTTCCTGCAAGATTATAATTTTCACAGCAGAGTAGGTGGAAATGTGAAATATTTCTTAGACATCTCTGACTTGTAAGTGTGGGAGAGGGAAGAAGGGAGAAAGTCAAGAGTGCAATCTCTATCATGTCTCAAGGGAATCTGGATATTTTCTTTTGAAACTTTTCTAAGAATCAGGTCCCCTCTTTATGGCATGCTGATAGCTGCTGGTAGCAATGGCTTTACCAGAGGCCAGAGGAATATACATCAGATGGCAATTGATAGTTCAGGTGTCAACCTACCAGATGAATAATCCTCTGATGGAGGAGCCCCATTCAAGCAAAGCTTACGGGGTCACAGACTCTGAACACTGTTTCTGTCTGTAATTTCCCATATGCAAAAACAGCTGTGGTGTCTCCCCAAGACTGAATGCCTCATAAGTGACACCTTCTCAGATAATACACAAGGACAAATTCCTAGGTGTCTTATTGTACAACCAAGGTCAGGCACAAAGCAATTTTGGTGCCAGTTCTCTGCTTGCTAAAAGTCTGGCTGATAAAAACCTAACTCCCTGCACAAATTCCTCAGCAGCTTGTTGTCATGGTTACTTACTCCCCTCAAATGTAACTTTTTACATTGCTTTCCTGGGGAGGTATATAGGGAGAGATAAAACAGGAGAGAAGAGAAAGAGAGGCTTGAGAAAAATAAAGAGAATGATTACCAGTACATGTATGAGTCGTATTCCCTCAGATAAATAAGAATTACTCCTAAGTCCTGCTAGTTTGAGGCTTTCTCTTTGCAACCCTGGAGCAGTTCTGGGAGCTGGTCTCACAGGCTACAATAGTGTCATGATGGACGTCGATGTTTGTGATAAGCCAGGAGTTGTATTTTTGGAGATTCACTGGTAGAGAGGGTTTGTCTTCTTGGCCATCTTTCATTTAATTTACATCATAGCATTTTATTACTCTAAGTTTATGGAATCATTGTAAGCATGTCTGTAGTGTAAGCAATGGTTCAAATAGAGGAATGGGATTCTGTTTGACCCATTGAGAACTTACCTTTTACCAACGTTTGGGAAAGAGAGGTACCTTTACAACTGCGGTTGTTGAGATTGCTGGCTCTAAGCGCTACAGTGGGCATCTTTTCACACAGAAGGAAGTAACCTGGGCTGACATACGGAGAAAGATGTGGCTTGGTTATTTTTAATATAGCTAGCATCATATATAAACTCTGGACTTGAATGGATTAATGCACCTTTTAATCATGAGATACATTATGTGAACTTTTATTGAAATTATTTCCCTCTATTCATCTATGATGTACTTCAAGTTAACATATAAACTCTACTAAAAGTTCTACATATATGTTAATTTTACTATATTTCCTTTTAATTATTTTTATACCTCTCTTTTTAAGTTAGTGATAAATAATAGATTATTAATTAAGATAGGTAGGATTGGAGTGGTAGCTTGAATGAGAACATTTCCCATAAGCTCCTGTGTTTGAATACTTGGTCCCCATTTAGTGGAACAATTTGGGAAGGATTATGAAGTATGGCCTTGTTGGAGGAGGTGTGTCACTAGGGGTGGGATTTGAGGTTTCAAAAGCCTTCCTCCATCTCAGATATGCTCTCTGCTTCCTTTTTATGACTGGAGATGTGAGCTCTCACCTTCTGATTGTGCTGCCTTCCAATTGTTACCTCTAACAGGTAACTCTAACTCTCTGGAACCAAATAAATGATTTCTGCTATAAGTTGTCTTGGTCATGGTGTTCTATCACAACAAGAGAAAAGTAACTAAGACAGTTGGGTAAGGGGTAGGGATAAGAATAGAAAGAAATAACTTCTTCAGAGGGACAAAGTATGTATTCTTAAATGTTATTCTTTTGTGAATAATGAATAGACACATAACGTAAAAGAATATCTAACACTTTTAGAATGTATTGTAGATATTACAAAGATCTTTAAAGAAAAGATGATTATCTAAAAATAAAGTTGGAATAATACTTAGTGGTCAAGGAATATAAGAATATCGTAGGTACAAAATTTTATTTGCTTAAATTCTTCCAAGAAGAAAAAAATCAAACTCATCATATTTAGTTATGGAATTTGTTTTATTTATATTAATAATTATATACATACAACACAGAATAGCTTAAGGAAAGAACAGAATTATTATTTGAATAATGTCTATGAGTAGTTTTATGCAAGTATAGTGGTTTGATTTTATGGGGGGTTACAATTGTCTTCAGTCTCAGAAGCGATTTTGGACTTTGGATATTAAGCAATCTTGAGACTGATAGACTACGGGGATTTTTGAAGTTGGATTAAATGCATTATACATTTTGATATGGCTACAAGTCTGTGAGCACAAGGAAGTGGAATGTGGTGGTCTAAATAAAAATGGTCCCCATAAGCTCATGTGTTTGAATGCATTGTCACCAGGGAGTGAAACTATTTGAAAGGATTATAAGGATTAGGAGGTGTGGCCTTATTGGATTAGATGTGGCCTTGTTAAAGGAAGTCTGTCTCTGGAGGTGGGCTTTGTGTTTCAATAGCCCATACCAGACCCAGGCTATCTCTGCCTATGAATTGGGATGTAGCTCTCAGTGACTGCTCCACTATCTGCCTGCATGCTGCCATGCTCTCTATCATGATGATAACGGACTGTGTCTCTGAAATAGTAAGCAAGTCCCAAATTAAATTCTTTCTTTCATAAGAGTTGCCTTGATCATGGTGTCTCTTCACAGCAGTAGAACAGTGGTGACTAAGACAGCAAGTCATATACAGGGACTTGGGCCTAATCACATCTTTCTTCAAATGTCAGCCCAGATTTCTCCTATGTGTGTGGCATGATGCCATTGTAGCTCTTAGACCCAGTAATCTCAATAACCCCAGTTGAAAAAGCACCTCCCTTTCCCAACAGTTGGAAAAGGAAGGTTCTTAGTGGGCCAAGAAACACCCCGCGTTTCTCTCTAAGCCATTCTATATATTACAGGTATAAAGTGCTCTAGTTGGCTGTACCTGAGATGTTGCCCTGCTTCTAGGGTCAGGGATTGGATTATTGCCCCACAAACTAAATGATTCAAGAACTGAGGAGCTTTTCCTAAGGTACAGGTACTATCAACAACAGAGAAATCAGTATTGGTCAAGTGAAAGCATGTGTCACAGAGATTATAAACAGACTAGCATAGAGGAATCAATTCTTTCTTGTTGGGCAATGATGGTCAAAAGAAGAACTTGTTGTAGAAACAGGCTTATCATTTAGAAAATGGTAAGTGACTATAATCAGATTCTCAGTTGAAAACCGTTTTTTGCCATTATGGTGTTGTTTGGATTTCCTGAGACAGAAGAGTGGAAATCAGGAAATGAATCATACAGTTATTTCAGCTTGATTTGTTTAATTTATTCATGAAGGCCATTATAAAATATGCAAAGGGAGGGAGAGAAACTGCTCCTGTACTATAATTATGCAGGTCTACCAGCAAGCTTTGATTCTCCTCTAGGGAGAATCTGCCTCAGGGTGTGGTCACTTGTGAGCTCTTACTGAATCTATTTTAGGCTTCAAAAGGCCTAAATGTAGGTGTGTGTTTAATTACTTTTCATTCAATTGTTAAGTGAAATTCAGTTCTAAGAGAATGATTTAGCAAGTACTGCTGTTTCAGGCATCAGCAATAAGACTAGACAATGTTGTGGGAGTGCTTTTAACTATACTAAGGCAAAGAAAATGACCAAAGTGGAGGAAAATAAAGGAAGAAGGGGGAAAGTAAAATGGAAGGGGTGAGCACCTAGCACAGGAAGGGAACCTTCAGCACGTGTCTTGTGACTTATCCTGAGGTAGCCTGCAGCTATGAACCAGCAGGTCAAACCATTTTCTTCTGGGTGCAGGTTCTTAATTCCCTTCATCTGTTTTGTTTCTTTTGGTTGTTTCTAGTCTCTATTGAGCATCCGAGGCTCCCTTTTCTCTCCAAGACGCAACAGTAGAGCAAGCCTTTTCAGCTTCAAAGGTCGAGTGAAGGATATTGGTTCTGAAAATGACTTTGCAGACGATGAACACAGCACGTTCGAGGACAACGACAGCAGAAGAGACTCTTTGTTTGTGCCACACAGACATGGAGAAAGGCGTCCCAGCAATGTCAGCCAGGCCAGTCGTGCCTCCCGAGGAATACCCACTCTACCTATGAATGGAAAGATGCACAGTGCAGTGGACTGCAATGGCGTGGTGTCTCTGGTTGGAGGCCCTTCTGCCCTCACATCTCCTGTAGGGCAGCTACTACCAGAGGTGAGGCCTATTAAAACAGCAGCCAAGGGCACAGAAGGCAAAGGGGCATTAGTGCATTCAGGAATGAGGGGTTTGATTTCCACAGGCAATAATTTTCCTGCATCTTTTTCCAAGGCCAAGAGATTTTTGGTATTATCAAGCTATGAATTTATCTTGTCAAAACCTTCTACACCTTCAAACAAATTAAGATCATACAAGGAGTTCCATAGAAGCATTTGTTCATTATTATTACTATAGCTTGAAATTCAACAACAACAAAAAAGACAAACCACATTTTTGCTGTGCAAGCATGTAATTATTATTATTGCTATTATTATTACTATCATTATCATTGTTATTTGGTTCGTTGAAACAGGGTTTCCCTGTGTAGTCTTGGCTACCCTGAAACTCTCTTTGTAGAACAGGTTGGCTTTGAACTCAAAGATCTGCCTACCTATGCCTTCCAAGTACTGGGTAAATTAAATACATGCACCACCAGGCTGGCGATATGATTAACTATTAAGAAATTCATGTGCATGATTATGTAATTAAGCATTTCAAAGATTTTGCCATCCTGTTCCTTTAAAACAACTTCACACTTCCACTTGCTCTCAGGTTGTCACTAATTATATCTAAATCCCTTAGTCACAATTCTCTCCATTTTACATAGAGTGCCCTTCCCCCACCTCCTGCATCAACTCAAATGTCCCAGCGACTGTACATCTGTTAGACTTTTTCTAATGGATTTCAACTTTCATATTACTACCATAAAATCTTATATGCAAAGTTGCCCCAAATCAAGCATATGTAAAAGATTTTCAACTAAATAATGTATAACAGGATTCACCATTGATGGTTCCTTTATAAAACAAGACACTCTTCATGTTGGTGTTAAATAAAATGTCATTTGACCTTTATAAAATACTCCAGCCATATTGTTTGATCACATCACAGTGTCCTGAGCTGGGTTAAAATCTCCTTTATATAATTACTTTTATGCAATTTCATTTTTTTAAGGGGACAAGCCCTGTAGGATCCCATTATAATGGTCCAGTTAGTTTTCAGTCACTTCTTACAATAGCTGTTGCTCATCACTGATTTCCCATGGTCTCTCCTCAATTTTTGCTCCCGGAGAAGTTTCCAAGTATCTTGGAAAAATAGCAAGCCTCAAAAGTGGTAGAACTTCGTTGTGAAGCAGACAAGAAGAATAATGAGGAAATGTCACGTCTCCTTAGAAAAATAATTTTAGCCAACTATCCACTACACATTACCCAGAACACTGCAGAGCTAATACATTAAACCATCACAACCACCCATTATAATATTTACTAATTTATCTCCATTTTACAGAGGAGGAAACTGAGGCCTGTGCATGGTGGCGCTAAGATTTGCCCCCAGATGTGCTGGCTACAGGCCCTACTACATTCCACTCATAGTGAAATACAACACTCCATTGGATTTTCTTAAATGGGAAGAAGAGATGAGTAAGGAAGAAAATACGTTTAAATCAGTGTTTCCTCTTTTTTTTTTCTTCTTTTGGTTTTTGGTTTATCGAGACAGGGTTTCCCTGTGAAGCTGGACTCGAACTCACAGAGATCTGCCTGCCTCTGCCTCCTCAGTGTTGAGATTAAAAGTGTGAGCCACCACTGCCCAGCTAAACCAGTGTTTCTTTTTTATTTTTAAATTCTCAAAAATTAAAACACAGTTTAATTAAAATACCAGAGACACATAAAACAAACCAACAAATAAATCAAATGCCTTTGAATAACCCTAATGTAGGATGTGAAAAAGCTCTATAATGGGAACACTGATAAAAGAAAGTGAGGAAGACATTTGGAGACAGAGACGTGTCATGCATGCAGGCAAGTGCTATTCCAGCAAACTACTACGAACCCAGTTCTAAAATATTTATGGAGTACTAAAATGTTACTGTTTTAATGGGCAGACAAAGAACAAAATGGTATTTCTTAAGCTGTGCTTCAAGCTTTCTCAGATGAGTCTCGGAAATAGAAATTTCAATTTTTCTAGCTACACCCAGAACTACTCTGACTGAAACTATGAAGAAGGACCCTGGAAATCTTTTTCTTAAGAAACATTACATCCACATGGTTCTTGAATACAAAAGTAGTTCTATCATAGATCTTCATACCACTGGGATAAAAATCCCAATGTCATTTTGCATGAATATAAGTATGGATCCAGATATCAGTACTGTCCTGGCATTAATCATCATATGTGTATCCTATCAGAAAAAGTAGAATACATAAAGGCCCGTTGGGCTTAGTTTGAAGCCAAGCCTATTGTGCCCTGATAATCTGCAAATTCCCACACCTGCATTCTTTCAGGAATGAAGTCAATGCTTTGGGGCAAATTCTGTCCTGTGAAAGGAGCTGAAGGGACCCACACAATTGGCAGGCTTTGGGATCCTGCAGAGGGAACATGCAAACAGAAAACAGACAGCAGTGAGCAAATGGCTTGTCCCAGAGCACACTCTTTCCTGTTCTTTACACATATATTGCATTGAGACAATTAACTTCAGAGCAATTATCTGAGTAATATCACTAGGGATTTTGAAATCTATCATCAAAACTTACATAGATCTGGAGTTTTGAATGTAGTTTTGCCTGATGCAGAAGAGATGGAATGACATTTATGTGACCTCTACATTATTCTTAAAAGTGTTCCTCTTTGAGGAAGTAAAATATTTCCATTTTGTGAGCCCATCTTTACTTTAATAGTTTTATTTTCAGTGAGGGATTTTCTCTTTTCTTCTTGGTTCAACTTCTCCTTTATCTTGAAGTCAATTTCAGGTGACTGGATGGGTCTTTATCACCATTCATGATAACATCAGTTGAGTAGAAACCTGTTTTGAAAATACATGATTACGCAAATCAGTAAACACAGCAGTAATGTTCATTGCTCATATCACAGTGAGGTTCAGATTAATAAGCAGCAGCCAAGTTGCTCTTTAAGCAATGCAAAAACACTCACAGAACTGAGAGTATCTTATTTATGGTCAACTTACTCAGACCTGCATTTGAAATGCTTGAGATTTTCCCTTTGTCCTATGACAGTTAAATTTAAGTTTGACATCCTGAAGTAGGAACATGTTTCTACCCATTTCCAAACCTGGAAAGTTTACTTTAGAGTAGGGAAGAATTGAGTCATGGTATGATTGCTAAAATCCAAACACCACTGATTGGTATGTCCTGAGAATTTCAAAGTTTAGGTAGCTCATCTATAAACAGAGTTGTTTCATAAGAATAATATGAAAAGATAGTTTAGCTAAAAAAAATTTTGATATAGATATTAGCAAATGATATTTGTCTCAAAAAACCAGAAGTGTTTTACATGTGGATATCACATTTTAAGGGAACTATTACAGAAGCATATTGTATAATAAGGGTTTTTTTCACATCTGTCTGTAAAGATATAAAAGCCGAACCTGGGACCATCAGGAACAATGCATTTATTTCAGTTTGAAGTTGGAGGTTGTAATAGGTGAGATGCTCAGAGTTCATCCAGTAGATATTAATTTTGGTCCTTCCAACCTCAATCGCCAGCATGAAGGAAGCTCACTCTGGCAAACTTGGGCATCCCAGGAGACTGAGGATCTGGTAGACTTTCATAAACAATCCTCATATGCTACTTCTAGAAATGTCACCATGAACTATTGTGGTCTAGATATGAAATATACACCATAGGCTCACACGTTTTAATCATTGGTCCCTCGCTGGCAGCACTATTTGGGAAGGTTGTGAAACCTTAGTGGGTGGAGAACAGAAGGAGATGGTGAGTCACTGGAGGTGGGATTTGAGGCTGCATAGACTGGTCCTGCTTGCTGCTCACTGATTGCTTCCTGAGTGCAGATGTGATGTGCTGAGCCAGCTCCCTACTGCTGCTACTATTCCTTCCACCATTTCCTTCCCTGACTGCCACCGTGTCTTCCCTGCCATAGTGAGGGCTGAACCCACTTGAACCTTCTGTGAGCCAAAACAAAGACTTGTTCCCTTGAGTTGCTGTGGTTTGGTATTTTTACCACAACAATGAAAAAGCAAGACACTGCTTACATCTGAGAAAGCATGGTAAACTCTTAGTTAAGCAGCATCTACAAATGGGGTACTTTCAGGTTTGTTACCCAAGAATAGTGATTGTCTTGTTGTCTGGAATTTTGGGATTTCAGGGCACAACTACTGAAACAGAAATAAGAAAGAGAAAGTCCAGTTCTTACCATGTGTCCATGGACTTATTGGAAGACCCTTCGAGGCAAAGAGCAATGAGTATGGCCAGCATTTTGACCAACACAATGGAAGGTATGTCAAAAGTTCCACACCATCGCCCTTTGATAGTAGGTTGGTAACAATGTGAAACTCCTTGCCTAAATTTCAAGGCAATACTTCCCAACCCAATACCACACCACCACTTCTTTTAAAAGGTAAAGTCAAATCAGTGCATAGAACATGGAATCTACTGTTTTGTGTAGATTTTGAAACAAGCCTCCTGGAAACTGCTACAAATTCAAGGTACATTTGGAATATGACTGTCAGAGCTTAAATTCTAAACTCTTGAAGCTTGATGATGACATTAGTAACAGTGTAATGATTTATGCTTATTGCTATGGTGCTAACACATTTGACAAGCTATAAAATATTACAAGCTAACACTTTATAAAATTTATTGTCTCAACCAGAATTATAAATAAAAGTGTAAGTTAAGGTGTCATGCCTCGTTGAAGCTATATTTAAAATTTTACAATTCTACTTTTGTTCTTCTCTTCTTTCTCCCTGTCTGCATCTGTATCTCTGATGAACTATTATATCAGCTTCTACTTTGCTCGAAGATTATATCTGAATAGCTAGCATAGTATTTATAAGTCTGGTTTTCATACTACCAAAATGAAAGTTTGGGAAACAGCTTAATTTTACCACTTACAGGCTCTGCCACAGGTTAAATGTACTAATTTATGATTTAAATTTCATTTTTCCGCCAAAATGTGGACTGTAATGTTTAGGATTAAACAAGGCGACCCATGTAAAGCAGTCCCGTACTTTGCATGCTGAAGACCGTCAACAGATGCTATGGTTATTAATTGTTCTATCATGCTACTTTTGTGGGTTTTTATATTATAAGTGAAATCAACAACTGTCAAGTTCAGTACATAGAAAATATATTCATCTAAAATGTATTCATGTATAATCCCCACCCTGGTTGTTTGTATCTTTCTCATTTTCCCTTTCTCCTTTCATATAAAGTGTATTCAATCTCATCATCTTTTACAAGTCTCCCTGATTCCCATTCCCACATGTGTAAAAGTGTGTTTGAATATGTAATTCAAAAGAGAAAGCTAAGAAGGAGCATATGGGTGAGAAAAAAATGAGTGTGTGCATGACTTTATTTTTTAAAACTCAGTTCAAATTTTAATAGATATATACACTGTATCTTAATCATATCTCCACTCCCTTCCTCCTCTTCCCTGGCCCTCCTCCCAGTATATCTCCCTTCCCAATTTTAGTTTCTTCAGAGACTGGGTAGATTCTTAGAAAGAATACTTTTTTAGTCATAATGCAAAAATCTCATGATCTCAGTTTCAAAAATCCTGAAAGTCATAACCAGAAAAAATACCATAATAGATGACTCTGTCATCATAGACAAGATGTTGGTACAAGACCCAGTTTTCTCAGAGTCCTGATCTTTTCATTGGCTTCAATGGAATATTAAACTCTAGTCCGTTCTTCCCCAACCTTGCCTGCCTAGCTCACACTCCTTCTTCCCCCCAGCTGCCAGTAGCTTGCTCCTCCCTATCCCTCCAGGTAAATCTTTTGAAGAGTCTCTGGTCTTCTGCTCCTTGCCATAGCAAAACCACTGAGAGGAAGGGGCCAGTGGTGCTGCTTCCGATGCCAGCAGCACGGCTGCTCCCCAAAGCAGGAAGTAGAGAAGGAGCCAGGGTAAGTCTGAACGGACGGTCACACTTTGCCCTTCTAGTAGTGTTAAGTTTGAAGTAATGTAAGCAATAACTGAAGGAAAAAACAATCAAACCATCACCAGTTGGACTTGTCCATGGATTGACATCCAGAGTTCAGAATGAACACACACACACACACACACTCACACACACACACACACACACACACACACACACACACACACACACACACATCTTTCTCCTTGGAAACACGTCTCCTGGAGTTGGTCAGAATGAAAGGGCTGTTCTAGAAATTAGAAGAACTTAGGAAGCGACAGACTACAATATCTTGTTTTTTATGTCTTCAGAGCTTTTGTGTGAATGAAGTTCGTTTTAGTGAGAAAGTTGGTTAAACTTCATTCATTTTCCCCCCCATTTGTGATATAAAATGAAAGCCTGATATTTCCTTCTTCAGTTACATCTGAACAGTTTGAACATGACACTGTGGGGCAGCAGTCTTGTGCACATAGCATGAATAATAAAGTTTACTTTGATACAGCCCTGTTCTGTTCCCATTAATAATGGGGCAGTTTCTTAGCGGTTATTACCTGTTTATTTAAACATGGTTTCTTCTAAAACTTGGTTCATTTTCCCTTTCGTGAATGAGGCTTGTTAAAGTGGCTGGCAACTTTGCTTCCCTTCATTTCAACTACAGCCAACTCTCCATTATCCAAAGTAACGAATAGTTGCGCTTAAAGACGAGCAAAAATTATTTTAAAATGCAAAATTGCATAGAAATGTTTCATGAACACGCTTTGGGTGATGCATATGTTGGGGAATAAGTTTAAAGTTAAAATGAATCAACAGAAGATAAAAGCTTAGCTGTCGCTGCCTCTAAGGTGGGAACCCCCCACAGGAATAATGGAGAAGTGGTTGTAGTCTTCTTCTCCTGGATGCTTCGCTTGTTTCAAAATGGGAGATAGTCCTATGGGGAATTAATAATTGAATGATTTTATTTTAGACTTAAGGCAACTTTGCTCCGGCTTTTCCTAGAATCAAGACCATCAGCACCTGCTGAATTTCCCCTTTGAATGTTTCTCTAATTTCTTTTTTTCCCCCTGCTATGCTATTTGCTTCTCTTTTTCTGTTAAATCATAGCTTGTATAAATTAAAATGAAACTTATTCTGATAGCACATAGACAGAAATTTTGCAGCTTCTCTTCTATTATTTGTTGCAAATTATATGATCTTCTTTTATTTCCTGTGTGAATATGAACTTGTTTGGGGGTATTGAAAAAATCTATAAAGTAATAATGCATATATTAAATAAATAAAAATGGACAATAGTTTTATTTATGGAATTTTTTCTCCTATTTAACTGAAATATTCTTTACTGTTTGCCAAATTAAAAACTGTAAGAGATGGAAATACAAATGTTCACTTGAAGAATTTCAGTATCCAAAGAGAAATTTTAAAGTGTCTAGCTTTAACAGAATTCCACTAACGGAGTTAAGAAAATAAATTGATTTAAGAAAGTGATAAATTTTATAGCATAAATAAATAGCAAATGTTTTTTTTTAGCAGAACAAAGATCTAGCAACATGCTTCTCCATTTTCTATGCTGTCTCCTCCTTTATAAATTTTACTATATTGTAAACTATATCAGTGTTGACGAAATACCCTAGTTTCTACAAAAACAGTGCTGAAATGACTGGTCAGAAACCACATGCCCTGGAATGAACAAAAGAGGGGACTTCTTTCTGTTAATGGGAAGAAGGGATGGTCATGGCCACATGTTTGACAGAGCAGGCAATCTTCTGCAATGGCATTGGCAGAAACTAAGAGATTTGGTATCCTTTCCCACTGAAGACTTCACTAAGTGACCATCTTACCAAAGGAAGATGGAGATGATAATTTTCTACCTCATATTTCCCCCCAAAAGTCATTGTCAATGTTTACTAAACAGGTGACATCGAGAAGGTCTCTTAATTGCTTAATTTTATAAGAAGTGATCAAAAAGCCTTGTAGACAATAGTCAGGAAAGTTTGATACTACACTGCCATTCCTCAGCTTAAATCCTTCTTAAAAGCACTGCATGCCGGGCGGTGGTGGCGCACTCCTTTAATCCCAGCACTCGGGAGGCAGAGCCAGGCGGATCTCTGTGAGTTCGAGGCCAGCCTGGGCTACCAAGTGAATCCCAGGAAAGGCGCAAAGCTACACAGAGAAACCCTGTCTCGAAAAACCAAAAAAAAAAAAAAAAAAAAAAAAAAGCACCGCATTTTTTTTAACATTTTTTTAACATGAAGTTTTATGCCATATGTTTGATAAAATAGTTACAGATTTCAGTATATTAATATAAATGTATGAATTCTATGAATGTTTTGCATTAAATCTTGTATTTTATTAATAGTACTTGAATCTCACTTTGTAAAGTGTTAGCATGCTGACAGTGAGGACTCCAGTTTATTCAGTTAATTATTTCCCTTTTTGGGGGGTACTTTCTGATTAAATTGATGTATTGAGAACACACTAAACTTGTTGAACTTAACATGCAAGCCCATGTAACTAAAACCTTATTAATGTGAGAGTTTTTTTTAACTCAGAGGAGTTATTCCCTTGAATGTGCCTCATTAGAATCCCTCCAGTGATGTCTAAGAGACTGAGGTTCCCTGTGACTCAGTGAGGTTGTTAGGGTGTCTCCTGGGGAGCCTTTGGAAATACACCCCAACCCTTGTTCTATCTGGAATATAGATGGACGTGCGTATAATGAAAGTTCTGGATTTTGTTTCTTGTAACCTTGTAGACGATTTTTTAAATCAGTATTGCAGATAGAGTCTTAGAAACTACATCTATCTGAGAAACACTAGGAAATTTATTAGCCTTTCTGTGACTACAAACCCATAATTTTTTTCTGGCTCTTTCATCAGATTTTCATATCTTTAAAAAATACATTTAGATTATTTTTAAAGAATTGCTTTCAACTTAAACCCAGGACTGAACAATAGAAAGTAAAGGGTTTTCATGGATGTATTTACTTTTTCCTCCCCAGAGCTTGAAGAATCCAGACAAAAATGCCCACCTTGCTGGTACAAATTTGCTAATATGTGCCTGATTTGGGACTGCTGTAAGCCATGGTTAAAGGTGAAACACCTTGTCAATCTGGTAGTGATGGACCCATTTGTTGACCTGGCCATCACCATCTGCATCGTGTTAAATACGCTCTTCATGGCCATGGAGCATTACCCCATGACAGAGCAGTTCAGCAATGTGCTGTCTGTCGGGAATTTGGTAAGACTCCTTGAGGGCTCATCTTTCCCACTGGTTCATGAATGTTATATTAGTTTTATGTGTTACTGTCAAATAAGATATGAACTCATTGATCATGTTCACCTAAGACACCAAAATCTCTTGCATCTTTTTTTAAAACAATACAAGTAGGTTGCTACACTTAAACATAGTACAAAGGATTCAAGTGTAACTGGATTTAGAAATAGTCACTTCTCTACTATAATGATAATTATGACCAGGCATAATGACACATACCTGTAATGCCAGCAATTGGGAGACAAAGGCGGGAAGATCACACATTCTAGGGCCATCTGTGCTACATAGGGAGATCCTACCTCAAAGCAAACAAGGAAAGAAACATAAACAAAACTAGAGCCGTCCAGATGGCTCAGTAAGAAAAGGAGCTTCTCACCGTGTCTGATGACCTAAATTGAACACTGGACCCCAAAAGGTGAAAGAGAACCAACTTCTGTAAGTCATTCACTGACCTGTCACTTTATATATGTGCTCCCCCAAATACACAAGAAAAATAAGTGAAAATATTATTTAAAAGCAAGAATATGCTAGGAATCTGGGAATATACACTTACATATAATATGAAATGCTCATTAAGTGCTCATGAGCCTTAAACAAATATCTTAGAACATAATACATTTCTTATATTTGAATTACACACTGTATATATTATTTATTTTATTTCTGATAGATCTCAAGTGAGTCAAATGATAAAATATGTGCAATAAACACATATTTTATATCAAGTTCTACATTAAATAGCATACACACTCCATTTCTTTCCTCTCCTTCCCCTACCTTCCCGATGGAGACGATTTTAATTTAACAGTTCACTTGAGAAAAAAGACATTGTGGAACAGGAAGTGTTCCTGAGGAGACCTACTTCAAAGTGCTCTGCCCCATTGGATACGTGCCTTTGTATAGCCCGAGGAAAGGAAATTTCACACAGAAACAACCTCTTTGACTTATAGTGGTCCTTTACCTTAGATTTAAATTGGTCACCTCTGTTTTATCATCATGCTTTGAAATTAGGATCAAGGTTTTTTAGCAGCTCTAAGCTTTTGATCGGTTTAATAGATATTCAGCTGCTACAGTTGGCTGAGACTCAGTTGTTTGCTTATAGGGCACAGTCTAATTTAGTTGTCCATTTATTTAGAAAGCAAGGTAGGTTACAGTTTACTATGTATGTTGGCAGCTTCAGGCCAAACTTGTTCTCAAATTAAAAAAAAACTGCTATGGGACAAATTCACTTCACATCAATGCAGTAATTTGAAAAAGCATTCTGATAGTACACAAACTCTTAAAATGTATTGGTCTTTTAAGAAGATAAGAATGGCAGCAGCCAAAGGAGCAAGAAAGCACCGGAGAGTTTATTGATTGGTAGAGGTGGGATTTTTAAGGTGAGAGAAGGATGGAGTCTCTATTGTTTTTTTAAAATCCTAACAGGGAAGCAACCCGTAGTAGGAACAGATTGAAACTATAGGCCACTTAAGAAAGCAAATACCGCCAGGCGGTGGTGGTGCACGCCTTTAATCCCAGCACTCGGGAGGCAGAAGCAGGCGGATCTTTGTGAGTTCAAGGCCAACCTGGTCTACAGAGCAAGATCCAGGAAAGGCTCAAAGCTACACAGAGAAACCCTGTCTTGAAAAGAGAGAGAAAAGAGAGAGAGAGAGAGAGAGAGAGAGAGAGAGAGAGAGAGAGAGAGAGAGAGAGAGAAAGCAAATACCTCATCAAGTTCAAGAGACAGCTACCACAAAAGGGGAAAGTTAGCTCAGAACAGGGGTGCAGCACAATATGTTGGGCAATGAGAGACAACAGCGAGGTTGACTAACTTCAGTCACCAGTAAGAAATACTGAGAGTAAAGGGCAGAAAAAAAATCAAGGTATGTGGAGAAGAAAGAAGGTTTGAAGTAACTGTAGAAAATGGAAATGGAAAACATTGATTTTATTTTCCAAAATTGACAATTGATAAAAGTCTTTACTGTCTTGAAGGCCACTAGTGGCTGTGTTCATTACAGTTCACATAAAGTCTCCTTAGCACCAGTTTCATCTGCAGATCCATGGAAGGAGGCACACCTATTGTAATTTGGCAGCTAGTCTGTGCTTCTGGGCAAATGCTTGAAGTTTTGGAGGACAAGAGAGATTAACCACAGCCGAGCACAGTGTGCCCAGTGCACTTTTTTGTATGAAAATCAGGGTGTTTATTTATTATCTGAATCTATATTTTATCACCTGATAAACCTTAAATATAATGAACAATCAAATGTTGGGTCGAATATAAAACATGCAGAAGCATCGACTTGTTGTATGCATGCCAATCTTTAAAATCCAGAGTTTGTACTGGATCTGCTCTTGGGTGCGTTGCTGCTTTTTGAGAGTAGGCATTTCTAATATCAACTGCATTACTCATTTAGGTCTTCACTGGGATCTTCACAGCAGAAATGTTCCTCAAGATAATAGCTATGGATCCATATTACTACTTCCAAGAAGGCTGGAATATCTTCGATGGCTTTATTGTAAGCCTTAGTTTAATGGAACTCGGCTTGGCCAATGTGGAAGGATTGTCAGTTCTCCGATCATTCCGGCTGGTAACTAATTTGCAGTATCCATGCTTTCTTTTGTAATTAATTAGTCTTCATTCTTTTCTAATAGCAGGTTCAACATATTTCACAAATACAATATTATTAAAGACATATGAAAACGTAATTTTCCCTGAAATGTAGTTCTTTTTTCATGATTGCTTTGATAAATATACTGTTCTATTCCAATAAACAGCTAGTAATGACTCTCTCTAGCAATCAAATGACAGATTTGATGGAGAAAGAAAAAATGGGAGACACATATCAGTCCAGATTGCAATCACCATAGTCAACACAGTTATCTGATTTGTGTAATGATGCATGAGGCTCCACAGGGATCTTGGATTGCCTACTTTATCCCCTGAAAAGCTTGTACTTGGGACAGGGTGTATGGGAGGAGGAGAATAAAGACAGTACTCCTTGAATATTTTTTTCCTCAGCCAGATTAGGAAGTTATCAAACCTTCTCTCTGAGAAGCACTGCCTATACTGTATTTTGATAATTTTAAACTAATTATCTTTCATTTGATCTTTTTATTTCATAACTATTTGCTTCTTTTTAAAATTAAATGACTACATATCATTTGACACATTTCTCTTAAGGGTTTGGAATATTTTATTGCATATGCTCTAACTCGGGATTGGTTCTATTTTCAAATAGTAAAGATTTACTACAGTTACCAACAAAAGTTCTTGTAGGTGATCTATTGCACTGCTAAATAATCTCGAGACTTTGATTTGATGTCTATTTGGGACTTCCCTTATGAATTTCAAAGTTCAAATTTGTGCTGAGATCCTTAGAACTATAATATCTAATTTGAAACTAGAAGGATGCAAGATTTACAGAAAACAATTAGAATAATCATATGACAGGTTAATATGCACAACGAGTTTTTAAGAAGAATGTTTAGTAAACCTTTGTGATAATTCATACAAGGTAGGGAACTGGGGATCCCAGTATCATTAACAGCTTGTACAATGTACCAGGCACTTTTTTATAAATTATCTCTTGGAATGAATTAAACAATCTGGTGCTTCTACTTACTCCTTTGAGTCACTTAGGTGTCATTAGATAATGCACTGCTGTCTGCCTGATGTTTACTTAAGCAGCAGAAATGAAATGCTTCTGCTATTTAACTGATGGTGCTTTAGGGGCCTTTGCCAACCAATTCCACCAATTTGTCAGGTACAGTGGCAAGGGGATGTGTACACTCTGTAATGACTTCATTCTTAAGTTACAAAAGACATCAAGGTTGACCAAGTGCACCTTTCAGCTTAAGCCTCCTTCTAACATAATTCCTAAAAGGTATAGTCTAATATTATAGAAAGCTAGAGCTACAGCTAGATGAAAATCATGTAAACTCTCCAAGAAATGTTCATCTTTCGCTTTTAACTTATCCAGTGTGTGCCATACATCATGATCTTTCAACTACACTGAAAAACATATTCACACTGGGATGTTAAATAATAGGTCTACTTCTTTGAGAATGAGTCTCTGTGAATTACCTACATGATCTTTAAATGTCTTAGTTTAACTACAACAATCAAACAAACAACAACACTAAAAATATCCAAAAGCTTCCATAGGGCTCCCCCATGCCCATGTGTGTGTGTGTGTGTGTGTGTGTGTGTGTGTGGTGTGTGTGTGTACAATAGCTGCTACATTCATTAGGTAATTCTTTGGCACATGAATAACCCATCATTCTACAGTTGACACATATTCGCTATACATTTCTGTTGTAAATAAGAATACAGATACTTCTGCAAGGCAAGGTGTTAACAGGTTAATATGGCCAACAACAATATAAACATGTATTCTTACATGATTTTTTTTTTCTAGCTTAGAGTCTTCAAGTTGGCAAAATCCTGGCCCACACTGAATATGCTCATTAAGATCATTGGCAATTCAGTAGGTGCACTGGGCAACCTGACCCTGGTGTTGGCCATCATTGTCTTCATTTTTGCCGTGGTTGGCATGCAGCTGTTTGGAAAGAGCTACAAGGAATGCGTCTGCAAGATTTCCAATGATTGTGAGCTTCCGCGCTGGCACATGCATGACTTCTTCCACTCCTTCCTGATCGTGTTTCGTGTGCTGTGTGGAGAGTGGATAGAGACCATGTGGGACTGCATGGAGGTCGCTGGCCAGACCATGTGTCTCACTGTCTTCATGATGGTCATGGTGATTGGGAACCTCGTCGTAAGTAGTAAAATCATTTTTCTCCTATTCAGTCACAAATAATATGATTTTTAAAATGTTTGACTGAAAACGTTTTGTGTTTTAGGTAGGATTATTTTGTAAGGAGTTTATTTCCAGTTGTCTATTACTTAAAATTGCAAGAGTCACACATGATTTAGACTTCAGTAGTTTGCACACCCTCAAAATGCCTCTTGAACCAAAGTTCTTCCTTACTATTCTATGTTGAGGAACCTGCTGATTTTATATTTCCATACTAATGTGGAAGTATAAATAAAATCACTCACTCATTTTGTTTACAATTATTAACAATAATATATTTCAAAAATGTCTCAATTTTGGGTTTCCTCAAAATTCAAGTTAAAATCTTACTAAACATCTCAACTCAAGAATAGTATTCAAAGGCACTTTGTACCTAGAAACTACAGTATGAGTCAGTAACATTGTCTTGAAAAAAACAACTGCTGTCATTTCTGTAGAACATCAACTGTTTCCAGCACAACTATCCTACATCTTGGAAAAATGAGTATGATAATAAGAAAAATATGCCTCAGCCCAAGTTATTTGCTGAGATAAGAGTTCATGTTTGGAATTTGAAAACAAAGCCCTGTATCTTACCTTCACATAATGGAAATATCGTTTTGCTAGGGTGGCTCAGTTTTCATTAAGGAATGTGGATCTGAAATAGCTATGGTTGTGCTATAAAATTCAAGCTATAGGGAGAAAGACGATTGTCCCCAAACTAAGGAACAGTACACCCTACAGCTGGGAAACAGGGAGTAGATTTTGTAAGAAAGAGCAGAGACTCATATATCAAACACTGAAGACTGAGCAGTTTCCGTGGATGGAAGTTCAGGATTGGGGTATCTGGACTGTTTGAGCTCAGAGTCAGTCTTGAGATTGCTGTCAAGATGCTTACTGAGGGCACAGTCTTGATTGGGACGAGAGGAGCAGCTTCCAAGAAAGCTCCATCTCTTGACGGTTAGTGAGTGGCTCCAGTTCTTCTTTGGCTACTGGAGGAAGGACGCAGATCCTCCCCATAGGATTGTTGAGTGTCCCCATTACATAGCAGCCAGCCTCTTCCATTTCAGATAGTACCAGAGAGAGGGTGAGAAGACAGCCAATATATCCTAATCCTGGAAATCACACTCTATCACTGTGCTGTGATCTGTTTATAAGAAGCTACTTACTGAAGGGAATGCATATGGAACAGAAAATTAATGTTTAAGGGAAGAGTATCAGGTAATTCGTGGAGATGTTTTAATGCCACCAGAATCACAAATACAACTTTAAAGATGATTGCTTTTAGGAAAGTAGAAAAGGATTACATAGAACAGAAAGGATCAGTCATGGAGTCACAGGACCAGAAACAACAACAAAAAGGTCATGCCTGTGGTAGACAATCTCTCATTTCCGGTGTGTATTGGGCACTAGCTGGAGAAGAGCAGAGGAGGCAATAAACAGAGTCTTCGTGACAGTGGAGAATGAGTGGACAGAAACAGGAAGTCAGAGTGGAAAGAGAAAAAGTGAGTTGTTGCAAAGCTGGGTGGTGTCTAATCGATAAAAAAGGCTACTTTTATTCATTAAAAAAAGAAATTTCCTTCCTTAGGCAATTCAAAGCTAAAGATGCCTTTTTAAAACCCAGGAGTTGATGAAAAGCAAGTGGTATCTGAAACAAATTTATGTCAGGGAACATGGGATGAACTTGAAAAGAAAGAAACTCAGTCTCTTACCAATTACTGTATTGAAATAAAACAGGTCTCTTTGTGAATGTGTTGAGAATTGTTTCCTTTGTATTCCATTTTATTTGTTTATTCAATCATTTATTTACTTATTTAGTGTAGTGTGCGTGTACGTGTGTGTTTGAGTGTACATGTGGGTGAACATGAGACATGATGTGTATGTGGAGGCCAGAGGACGGCAGGTGGGAGTTGGTTCTTTCCTTATGCCATGTGGGTCTTGGGAACAGAACTCAGATTGTCAGACTGGGTGGCAAGCACCTTTATTCCCTGAGCCGTCTTGCAAGCTCAGGAGTTCAAGTCTAGAGAGAATTTCAGAAACTATCAAAAACTATGGTACAGATGACATTTAGTGTTAATATAGATTGTCATGAAAACATTTAACTAAAATAGTGCATTGTTAATATGAAATAGTTATTTCTATCCTGGATTTAAAGATCGAAATGTAATACTTTCAAGATAAAAACCTAAAAGGCCCTCCTTTCTTTTTTATAGGATTTTTTATTTTATTTTTTAATTGAAAACAAATGTATTACAGCTCCTAGTTTTGAGTTTTTATGTGACTCTGCATCTATGTGTTTCTTATGTTCTTTCTTTGGTTCTTTTTCTTCTGTTCGTATGTTGTGTCTTATTCTGGTTTGTTTGTTTTGTTTTATTTTATTTTATTAATCTTTAAAAAATAAATAAAAAGCTATTTCCAATAAAAGAAAAATTTAGGGCCGGGCGGTGGTGGTGCACGCCTTTAATCCCAGCACTCGGGAGGCAGAGGCAGGTGGATATCCGTGAGTTTGAAGCCAGCCTGGTCTACAGAATGAGTTCCAGGAAAGACACCAAAGCTACATAGAGAAACCCTGTCTCAAAAAATAAAAAAATAAATAAATAAATAAAAAGAAAAATAAAAAAGAAAAGAGAAAATTAGATGTATATGTAAAAAAAGAAAATACATTTTTTCATACAGTATATTCTAATTACTGTTTCCTGTAGCTGGAGTTTTCTCCAGTCGTGCCTGGCCCATGGTCAGGACAAATCTCTCTCACCCACCAGTTCTGCAGCCGCTTAGACCCAACCGAGTAAACACACAGAGACTTATACTGCTTACAAACTGTATGGCCATGGCAGGCTCCTTGTTATCTAGTTCTTCTATCTTAAATTAACCCATTTCTATAAATCTATACCTTGCCACATGGCTCGTGGCTTACCAGTATCTTACATGTTGGTACTCATGGAGGCAGCTGGCAGCATCTCCCTGACTCAGCCTTCCACTTCCCAGAATTCTCTTCTCTCCTTGTCCCACCTATACTTCCTATCTGACAACTAGCCAATCAGTGTTGTATTTATTAACCAATCAGAGCAACACATTTAACATACAGAACATCCCACAGCACTTCCCCTTTTCTTTTTTTCAAAAAGGAAGGTTTTAACTTTCACATAGTAAAATTACATATAACAAAACAATTATCAAGCAAGAATTACAGTTACAATATCTAGTCTATTTATAATATCTAGTCTATTTGTATTTGGCAAAATTAAAGAACATATCCTATCTATCTTATATTTGTGAGTCTAAAGTTTCATATCTAACTTATCTTTTATCATAACTAAGGAAAATTGCAACTATCTAGCTTCAACTACACCAAAGACCTCAGAAGGATATAATATTACCTGAGACATGGGAGAAGGACATAAGCAACTTTTGGGAGTCTTGCAAGAGTAGACAGAGACAGCTGGCAGCCTGAACAGTCGCCTAATGTTCCTTTGTAAAGTTGGGGCATCTGTCTTCAGCCCACAGGCCTAGAGTCTCTCAGTCATTTTTCTCTCTGTCCTGTAGAATGTCTGGCAGTTTCCTCTGCAAAGCAGGAATCTGAAGGACCATTTTGCCAAGCAAAGTTCAGTGGTCACCTTCCCATGGGTCCTGCATGTCCAGTCGGTCAAGCAGTCCAGGCAAGAACAGTTTCTTGCCCAAATGGCTATTTTTGCCAAGACAAAGATAAACTCCATATGGAGTGTCTTCGATGCCCATCCTCCTCTCTGAAGTAAATCAGTGCTGTCAGGAGCAGACATGCCTCACTATCCAGAAAGTCTAAATTTTTAAAACATTTTAAATGCCATATTCTGTAGGCATTGAAGTGTTTGAAGATTACCTACCTAATTGAATTATATCTATGTATACCTAGAAAACAACATGACTATAAGTTTGACTATCATAGAAGACTAATTATTAATTTGTATTTCTTAATTATCCATTACAATTTAAATGAGTTACATAAACATAATACCTCAAATGGGAATAGAAATATATATACAGTATAACAAAATTAAGTTTAAACTTGTATCAATAAACTAAAATCCATAGCATGTCCAAATCCAAACATTTTAAACAAATTGTTCTTTAAAAGTAGGTTCATTAATCTACCCTTTAATCCTATTATATCCATATCATTATCCCCTTTTCTTCTTTAGAAAGAGATTGCATTTATATTCAACCTGTTTTAAAAAAAAAAATATTGTTTTTTCTCTATCCCACACCAGAGGGCTCTTCTGATATGGGACACAAGAATCTTTCAACATTTTTTTTTAATATACTTGGGTTTAGAGAAGGAGTGAACCAATTCCATCTCCAAAGACAGCTTGGTATATTGGGCAATTTGGGCATAGCTTCTCTTACTACTTCCTGCTGGAGGGGGTGCTGTATCTTATGAGGACACAAAGAAAATTTTAGGATTATGGAGTAGTCTGTGAGGGTGTATCGTCTGAGCCAGTTGCCTTGAAACCATTTTGGATGTTGGATAATCTGGGCCATGGTGTCATCAGAGACCTTTCAGGCAGTCTTGGCTGGTCAAACCTGATGTATCTTAATCTGGAACAAATCCATAGCCTCTGGCTTTCTGTGGAAACAAAAGCAGAGCCTCCTTTCCAAAGTAACATATCCTTAGATCCAAATTTTGAAGTCAAGGTATCTTTAAAATATACATTTTGGTTTAACTCAACAGCTTTTATGATCAAATGTTTTTCTACAGTTAAAAATCCCAAAGACAACACAATCCAGATTCTCTGTGTAATATCCATCTTTACATGGCTTATTTTTTATACTACCTTTATTGTCTCTTTAAAGACTTTATTTTTAAAAACTATCTTTTTCTTTAGATAACTGTATATATTTCTTTTTCTCTCTCTTTGAAGCCTACGTACATTTTTATACATAATGTAAACCGTTTAAAGTCTTGTTCCATTTGAATCTGTCTTATTGTGAACCTATTGCTTTAA